CCTTTTATTAAAGATTCTATAAGCATGGCTATTTAATGAGTACCCCAAGAATATACCTTCATCATATTTGGAATCAAACTTTCCAAGATTTTCTTTTCCATTGTTTAAGATGAAAACTTTACTTCCAAATACTCTAAAATAGTTAATGTTTGGCTTTTTACCTTTGAATAATTCATAAGGGGTTTTCTTAAGAAAAGGTCTAATTAAAACACGGTTTAATACATGGCAAGCAGTGCTAACAACATCTGCCCAAAAATATTTTGGTAGTGCTTTCTCATTAAGCATTGTCCTAGCAAGCTCTTCAAGGGAACGATTTTTCCTTTCAACTACACCATTCTGTTGAGGAGTTCTAGGAGCAGAAAAATTATGTTTGATACCATGTTTATCACAAAATTTATCAAAATTTTCGTTAGAAAATTCTCCACCATGATCACTTTGAATACAAGAGATAAAATAGCCTTTTTCATTTTGAATTTGTTTTACAAATTTCTTAAACAAATGGAAAGTATTAGATTTTAATTTCAAAAACAATGTCCAGGTAAATCTTGAGTAATCATCCACAATAACCAGTGCATATAGATTTCCTCCTAAGCTCATAGTTCTAGAAGGACCAAAGAGATCCATGTGCAAAAGTTCAAGAGGTCTAGATGTTGAAACAATATTTTTCTGTGAAAAAGAGTTTTTGACTTGTTTCCCCTTTTGACATGCATCACATACTTTGTCTTTCACAAACTTGAGTTTAGGTAAGCCAATTACAAGATCTCTAGAAATCAATTTGTTTAGATGATTCATATGAATATGAGCTAACCTCCTATGCCATAACCAGGAATCATTCTCTTTAGAAATTAAGCAACAGTTCTTAGCAGAATTAGTATCTAACATGTAAATATTGTTGATCCTCTTACCAGTAATCATTACCTGTTCTGAGTTTGATTTGATAATTTGACATTCATTTTGCCCAAAGATAACTTTGTGTCCTTTATCACACAGCTGGCTAATACTAATCAAATTATGTTTTAAACCTTCAACATATAAAACATTGTTAATCATACCTGATTCTGCACATTTGATGTCACCTACTCCAAGAATTCTTCCTTTATTATTATCACCATAGACAACAGTCCCGCCATTCTTTAGTTTTAGATTGCAAAATTTTGTAATATCACCTGTCATGTGTTTGGAACAACCACTGTCAAGGTACCAAAGATCTTCATTTTGTCTTGCCTAAAATGAAATTTGTATAGTTGCAGTACAAAATGATACAGTGTTGAAATAAACAATTAATTCTGCACTGGAAGAATAATTTTAATCGATTTATTTGATACTCAATCGATTAATCAAGTTCTAGAGAGAATGAATCAGAATAATAATCAATTTAAACGAGGAATAATCGGTTAATTTTATTCTGTTAATGATTTTAATTGATATGAAACCATTTTAATCGATTAAAACAATTAAACTATATTCCAAAGAACATTTTAATCGATTAATTCGTATTTTAACCGATTAAAACTGTACGGATAGTTCTTCTGGTATTCTCTGTAAGTGATTTTAACCAATTAAAATAGTTTTGTATCAATTAAAATACTCAGTCCGAGAATCCAGAGACAGAATTCACGATTTGATACACAGGGGCTTCCAGATTTTGTTCCTGCAAAACAGATTAGGCATATTTCGGTACCCCTTTTTAATTACTCGGGTCCAATTATGTTATATGAAGTGAATTTTTGGGAATCCACTTCATTCTACCTTTAGGTATGGCATATTTCTTAATTCTACAATATTTAACAGAATGCCCTTTTTTCATACAAGTAAAAACATTTGACAAACGGAGATGAAACAGATTTACTATATACAAAATAATTTTTAAATGCTCCGGTTTTCTTTCCAATAGACGGTGTAAAACCTATGCCACCACGATCAACAACTAATTTCCGAGAATTAAGTATCATATCAAGACTATTCTTTCCTTGTGCTAGTTTAGCTGCAGCTTTTACTAAGTATGATACTTGTTTTTGTAACTCGGGACAGTTTTTGCAATCTCTAATATTACACATGCAATCGAATTATTATCTAATTCCGGATTTTCATTCTTGGTTTCTTCATCAACTATTTTCTTTTCAAGAATAGTGATCTTGTTTTCTAATAACCTATTCATGCTTTTTAATCTTTTGTTTTCAGTTTCTAATTTTTTTGCTACTGCATGTATTTCATAAAAAGCATCTTGTAATGAGCTATAATTCATAGAGTCGGAACTTACACTCGGTTTTTGGTGAATCCGAGTTGACCATTAGGCATGTCTCTGTTGTTTCTTCATAGGTCATTTCAAGAATCTTCCACATTTGTGTAGCAATCGACAAGTGTGCTATCCTGAAAAAATCGTTTCGTTAAGTGCGTAAATGATAATATTTTTGGCAATACAATCATCCTGGATTAATTTCTTTTCATAGTCATTTAAGCTAGACCAATCTTTGTTAACGATATCAGTTTCTTGTTCAATTATATTCCAAACATTTATACTAACAGATTCAATAAAGATCTTCATCCTAATTTTCCAAAAAGGATAATCTGTTCCACAAAACAGTGGAGGTCTATCAATACAAGCACCCTCAGAAAATTTGTTTCCAGCCATGGATCGAAGAACTTGAATAACTTTCAAGCACCTCGCTCTGATGCCAATTGTTAGAAAAAGAGGCTAAGATCAAGAGGGGGGGTGAATTGATCTTTAAAAGTTTTTCGCAAATAACAGATTATCTAATTCAAAAATTAAGATTCCAGATCTGTTCTTGAATTACAAAGCAATCAATCAATATAAATGCAGTGACAGAATTAAAATAGAGAAAGGTTAAGAAAGATATCACCGGTGTTTTATACTGGTTCACCCAATACCAGGGCTACGTCCAGTCTCCAGCCAAATTCCAGCTGGGTTCCACTAGATCAAATGTTTTACAGATTTACAATCTTACACTTAATCTACCACAAGAACCAAATTCCAGTTCCTGCACTCAACCTCTCACCAAGAACCAAATTCCAGTTCTTGATAACCTCTACAACCAAATTCCAGCTGCAGAGAAACCAGTGCCCAAATTCCAGGCACCAAACAATACAAAAAGAATGTAAAGAAATGAAAAAGAAGAAACTAGAATGCTCAAACCAGTTTATGCAATTCTGCTGTAAGTGTTTCTTCTTCAAAAGAAATCAAGTTGCCTCAAGAAAGATTTTCAAAGAACTTCTCAAAAACTGATGCGAATCTTTCTTGAAAAGAGTGCTAAAGTTTGCTTGATTGATTGCTCAAGGATGTGTAAAAACTGATGTTCAATGTGTGTTTAAAAAGTTCAAGCAACTCTGTTTTTATAGAAGATTTTCAAAACAGCTGTATTAATTAATCTGTTAAAAGATTCTTTTAATCTGTTAAAAGTGCAGTTTTAATCTGTTAAAACTTCTTTTAATCCATTAATACGTTCTTGATTCTTTAACAGATTTGTTTTAACTGATACGACAACGTTTGTATCAATTAAAACACTTTACAAAAAATCTTCTAAGTTGATTTAATCGATTGTTCCGCGATTCAATCGATTGAAATACTGCAAAACTTTCTTGTAAAACTTTTCAAGTTATTTTAACTGATAAAAATAAGTTTTAATCGATTAAAACGCTGTGTAGAAATTTTCTAAGTTGTTTTAATCGATTGAAACGAGATTTAATCGATTAAAAGAGTTCTGATCGGTCATAACTAAATTCTGATCGATCATAACTGATTCTGATCAGTCATAATTATATTCTGATCGATCACCCTGAACTCCAAGTGGTTTTAACCGATTAAAATCAAGTTGTATCGATTAAAATACTGTAAAAACACTTCTCTGAACATTCTAAGTAATTTTAATCGGTTCTATCAAAGTTGTATCAGTTAAAAACTTGTTTAAGAAAGCTTTTGTCAAAATACTTTGTTTTTAATTGTTAAAAACATTTTTAGAGGCATTTTGCAAAATCTTTTAAGTGAAGAAACCTCATGCAGCAGAAAAGATAAAATGATTATACCTAAGCATAGCTGAAGTCACACTAATTCTTCTACTCTTTTATCTTAGTGACTTTTGTCCACTGCAAAGTTGCTTTTGACTTCATCTTTGACTTCATCAAATCAATGAGATCTTTGCCAAAGTATTTCAATGAGATCTTCATCACTTTCACAATAAGCATCATGTTCATAAAACATGCATTTTGGTTTTAGACAATGGAGGGGACTAGTAGACAATTGAAGAAAGTGGACATTCCCCGATACCATACTGAGAAGTTAGAACGGCTTTACGCGATTGTTGCCGCCGTCAGAAAAGTCGGTCGGAGCGACGCGATGGTTTTTTATTGACTCGCGTTTTCTTTGAAAGAAACAGTCCAACGCCTTTAGGTCGTCCGATAACCAGACTAGACCTAAGGGCGAGGTTTTCGAATAGGTTCGAGGAGTCGCCACCAGTGTTTTAACCTTAAACACTGAAAAAGGTAAAAAAAGAAAAGGCATTGGTTTTACAAAAAACCAACTTTGGCCATTACAACCAGAGTCGGGTAAGGGAGTTAGTTACGTGCGGGGAAGGTGTTAGCACCCCCACAACGCCCCTTTCGGGTTCCCTATGATAGACTAATTTAGAAAATAAATACTTAAAGAAATTACATTTTTACCCCCATTATTTGATCTACTTACAAAATTTAAATATCTACATGGCTCTACTATCTAATGCACATAAAGAAAGCGGTAAAGAAAGCAGTAAAAGAGACAAAGAATAGAGAAGAAACCTCCGAAGCGAGCTTTGTCTTAACTCTTCTAAAACGTGAGGATGCTTTTTGGCAGTCCCCGCACTCTACAAGTATACTCCTCTCCACAAAACACTGAAAAATTCACTCAACTGAGGGCCGAATGCCTCAAAAAGAGACTTCCTTAAACGATTTCAACTTTAACGGAAATCGGAGAGCTCCCTCGAACCCCGGAATAATGCTCAGGGTCACCCTCAAGTGCCAAGAGGCTTCCCAGAGAGTGGAGGAATGGAAAAGGTGTGTAAATTCGGAGGAATGAGGTCCCTTTTTATAGGGATGCGGGCCAGGAAAGGCGGACGACCGTCCAGGGCAAAAAGTGGCCATGGACGGCCGTCTATGTAGTGTGGACGGCTGTCCATGGTGACTTTTTGCCATGGACGGCCGTCCAAGCTAAGTGGACGGCCGTCCATGACTTTAAAGTGCCATGGACGGCCGTCTGCTTGCCATGGACGGCCGTCTGCCTGCTCTGGACGGTCATCCGCCTGTTTTGGACGCCCATCTGCTGTCTCCGGCGGTTTTCCCGATTTTTAATGCCTCTAAAAACCTTTCCTATCCTAAATGGAACCTATAACAAGCTGCTAGGGACTTGATAGAGTCTTAACCATCTTCGGAATGAGCGATCTTCGGCTTTATTAGGAGTCCGGGAAAGATTTGGGGTCTACAGCGATAATGTCACCAGAGGTCCGCTCCGACTTCGAAAAAACCTATGGACGGATCCTCGACCTGCTGAAGATTTGTGTCGATCCCATCTTTATCAGGGTTCTAGTTCATTTCTGGAACTCCAGTCTGCGTTGCTTCGAATTTCTGCAATTTGATATGGTGCCCACTTTGGAGGAGTATGAGATCATGCTAAAATGGCCCAAATCAGCCAGGGTCCATATTCGCCACGGGGCATACACTCCTGCAGCACAAATCGCTGCCATCATCCGATTGCCATTCCGGCAGACCGCCCTGATAGAAAAAGGGAACATCCAGGGTTAGAAAGTTTCAATGTTAGAAGAGCACCTGTCCACTTTGGCTGAAAGGGCAGAATGGGTCGCTTTTAACAAAACCCTAGCCTTAATCATATTTGGAACAATCTTGTTTCCCTTCCACATCGACACAGTGGACCAAGCCGTCATGGACGCCTTCTTCGCCTGGGACATGAACTCGAAGAGTCCCTTGCCTGCACTTCTTGCCGACACCTTGCTCTCGGTGGAATTTTGCCGCCAGAAGCAAGGAAAAACACTCCATTGTTGCTCTTCACTACTTTTTGTGTGGGGAATCACACATTTCTACGCCTCTAGTCACATGGGGATGTTCCCTGACCCTTTGAGGAGCTTCTCCAAAATCCCTCTCCACCAACGCCTAACCTTAGAGTGGAAAGACGAGTTGGAACAATGGGACGCCGACCAATTATCCTGGGTTTGCCCTTGGTTCCGACCCGGCCCAGTCCTCATCAGATGTGGAGATTACCCGAGCATACCATTGATAGGACTCAGGGGTTGCATAGCCTATTCACCTAGAGTAGCTATGAGACAACTCATGAGGACTCAAACTACATATCTCGAGGGGAGCTCGGAGGACTGTGTTTCTTCAGAGACCCATGCACCATCGCCAACTCACTAGCCGTGAGAAGAGCATGGGAGAAACCAGTCTTTATGGGAGATAGAGAGCTAGGAAAAGCTCGAGTAGCTATCTCCAATGACTATGAAGAGTGGAGATGCAGAAGAGGGATGTCTAACCATCCACCTCACTCGCTACATGTGCAAACAGTGAAGAGCTTCAAAATCAAGTTGACGCCTTGACCCAGAGGATAGAAATCACGGGAGCCAAAATGAGGGCCCTTGAAGAAAGAGAACAAGAATCTATCCTCACCATAGATGGTCTACAGAGGCAATGCAAGAAAAAGGATCGTGAAATAGAGTGCCTCAAGGATCAGTGTGCTGACTCTAATAAGCAAGTTATCCGAGCATCCAAAGCTACTAGAACCAGCTCGGATAGCCAACTCCAAGAAATAACCGTCAAATCAGCACACCTTGAGGCCGAATGCGCAAAACAGGCTCAGACGATCAAGGACTTGTTACAAGACCTCACAAGGACTCAGTCAGAAATACGCCAAGAGCGAGAGGCCAATCGGAGACTCAACAAAAGTCTCATTGAGCTACGCTACAAAGAAAGAGATGGGCTAGCTCAGTACGGTCAAGTACTGAGAGAGAAAGACCGAGTCCTTGCCAAGCTCGATGAGCTACAAGCCTTGGTCGTCCATCAAGAGGCGAAGATCAAAGAGGCTCAAAAGTACAGTGAAGATATGAGTCAAGCAGTCCAGAAGCAAAGCGAAGCACTCGCTCGTCACGTCCGGGAAGCCGAAAGGGAATTACATAGAGATCAAGATCCTCCTGTGGGTTTCTTTAAGCTTTTCCGCTTCTGTCAAAAGTTGTTTCATAGTATGGAATAAGGGATTGTATACCTTGTACGGATGAATGAAATTTTTTTTATTCAACAATTGTCTACTTGCATGCATATCATTCATTTGCATATTTAATTTCCCCTCCTTCACTTTTAATAAACAAGATAATAAAAAGGAAGGAATAACTGACACGTCTTCCAAATCAGAAAAATGGAAAGGACGCCGCTTTTAATCAAGCTCTCCCCAACGGTCGATCCACCACAAGAGGATAATAAGCCTCGACCGTTGGTCCTCAAAGTCAATAAGGAGGAGGGGGCAAGGACGCATGTGCGACTATTTATGCCACATCCTTTCCCCTACGAGTCAAATAAAGTTGTATCGTGGAGATACGAGGAATCTTCACCAATAAAGGAGGATATCTCCAATATAGCCGGCATTGGGGGCATGACTAGAAGTGGAAGGGTCTACTCCCCCAAGGACTTACAAAATGATACCCCAAAGAATAAAGGAAAAAATAAACAAACCGAAGAAAAAGAAAATGAAGAATCCAAGGAGGAGACAGACGAATTACTCCAGTTCATAAGGGAAAGCGAGTATTCCATTATCGATCAGCTTAATCATACACCTGCAAAGATAACTATGTTATCTCTAATGATGAGATCGGAATCGTATAGAAATGTCCTGATGAAGTGGATGCGGCTGAAGAAGCTCTTGAAACATCTTTTCAAGCGCTCGAAATTGCCACTGTAGAGAGACTTCCCAAAAGCACGAAGGTAGCCTGCATGATGATGAAGCATGGTTACCATCCTGGCCAAGGACTGGGGGCAGATTCCCAAGGCATGAGGGACCCCCCAGAATTCAAAGATAATCCTTTCAAGTATGGCCTAGGATATGACCCTACCAAGGGCCGAGCAGAAAGAAGAAAAGGGAAGTCTCCCCTCCGCACACTCAAACAGATATTCCAAAGCGGAGGGATGCAAGCGTCGAGAGCCACCCTAGTCATTAGGAGATCTTTTTCTTTGCTTAAGGGATGTAAACCCAATGATTGTTAGAGATTATCCAACGGGGCTAGCCCGACCCCCGGGCATTTCAGGGCACATATTCCCTTATTAATTAATAAATAATACATTTCTTACTATCTGCTTCTCTTCTTGCTATTTCATGACTAGAACTCACAATAACCTTGTCTAAGGTAAACAAAAAAAAGAGAGAAGAACAAAAAGCGCATCCAGGTAATCAAAATTTACCATTGCCATTACAATCAAGCTGGTCGATTAGAAGCACAAAATAAGACTTTACCTCACCATAAATAAAGTCGTGTTTCGCTAATATTGTGAAAAAAAAAAACACAACATAAAAAATACAAAAAAGAGAAAAAGCCCATAGGAGCCAAAGGCTAAAAGAAAAAGGGCAAAATACCCGGTAGGAAACCCATTAAGGGGGCTACGCAAAAGATAGGGTCAACCTGGTAGGACACCCAAACAAAAATAAAGGGTAGCCTAGGCAAAAGTTAGGGTTACAAAATAAAGTCCGCTAGGATTACCTAAACAAAAACAAAAAAAGGAACCTAGACAAAAGATAGGACCAAAACACAATATCCTGGTTCGAAAACCCAAAGGGCGATCTAGGGAAATCAATCAGCCATAAAAGGCAATAGGCTAAAGCGCAAATTCGAAACAGAAAAGGAGGAAACGTTTGCTTAGACAAAAGCTTAAACACTTAGGCCTAACCTTAGTCAGCCATTCTTACAAAATCCTTTCTAATAAAATTAACCGTCTAAAACACAAGCCGTTGAATTTACCCTTTACTTCTTTTCTCTTGACCCTCACAATATTATTCTAAAAATTAATTTGGGAATATGGAGGCGTATAGTCAACAAGAGGATTGAAACCCCTAAAGTGAAGAAAAAGGGACACTAATATGACAGAGTATGCTCCCCAAAAAGAAAAAGAAAAGAAAAGAAAGAGAGAAAAAGAGAAAATTATTTTTCGGTCACGTGAAGTCCGGAACGGTATAGCCAAGTACAGCAAAAAGATCAAGATCAGAGGACACCCGTCTCTACAAGACGCATCAGTTAAATTCTTCTGAAAAACTAATGAAATAAGCATTATAGGACATCAAACATGAAAACATTGCATGCATAAAATGTTTTTGAACAAGGTCCTATTTTCTTCCAAAAAAAAAAAAACCTTCTAAAAATCGAGACCGCCGTCTCGTCCTCCCAAACCACCGTCTCGACTCTCGCTGAAACGAGACCGCCGTCTCAATTTGGACAAAGATGAGACCGCCTTCTCGCTTAGCGAGACGACCATCTCGCCATAGGTCAAAATCGAGACCTGTTAGAATCGCGCAGCGGATTGATCGCGTTGTCGGACAAAAACTAAGAGGGGGGGGGGGTGAATTGGTTTCTTAACAAAAATTAGGTTTTAAAAATTTTCCCCAAATTTTACCGATTAAAAAGCTGTGTAAACGTAAATAAGATAGAGATAGAGTCTTATACAGGAGATTTATACTGGTTCGGATCAAAAGACCTTACGTATAGTTGTTAATCACTCAAACAGAGGATTAACGCTGTCACTATAATCAAAGTTGTTACAAACATATAACAATTGAAAATACAAAGTAAAGAAAACACCTCTCTTGAAACCCACAAGAGATGAAGAACATGTTAGAATCGCGCAGCGGAATGTTCGCGTGGTCGGACAAAAACCAAGAGGGGGGGTGAATTGGTTTCTTAATGAAAATTAGGTTTTCAAAATTTTCCCCAACTTTTACTGATTAAAAAAACTGCGTAAATGTAAATAGAGAAGAGTAGAGAAGATTACACAGTAGGTTTATACTGGTTCGGATCAAAAGACCCTACGTCCGATTGCTAATCACTGAAAAGAGGATTAACGCTGTCACTAAAAACAAATTGTTACAAACAGATTACAAATCAACGAGATAAAGATCGAATACACCTCTCTTGAAATCCACAAGAGATGAAGAACAACTTTCCCCGGAGACGGCACAACACACAATCCACTAAGAACTCCACTTAGTGATTCTTATCGCTTCTAGCCCACACCAGGTTCAGAAAGCACCCTCTCTTGAAATCCACAAGAGATGAAGAACAACTTTCCCCGAGAGACGGCACAAGCACACAATCCACTAAGAACTCCACTTAGTGATTCTTATCGCTTCTAGCCCACACCAGGTTCGAAAGCCCCCTTTCCT